TACCTGGTACCCCGCTCCTGGTGCCATCGGGCGGCGCAAAATGGCACCACGCGTAGAAGTGCCTCCTGCATGAGTACGCGTAGTACGAGACGCCCTCGTGCCCCGCACGCTCGCGCACGACACTTGAGACGCTTCACGCCAAGCCCCTTCGACCAGAAATGCACCGGTAGCCTGTGTAGCCTGGCTACAGCGGCACTTTTTCGTCATGAAGCGGCGGCATGTGGAACCACCCAAGAATACGTAGCCAGAATTTTATTTCGGGGGGGGGGGGGGGGGGGGGGGGGGAAGGGAAGGAGTCCAATGGCATGAAGTACCCATAGAGTTATTACAATAAACGCTAGAGGCTCAGCTGGCGCTAGTGTGCTGTTGCATTTTGAAGCAAACGGCAATCAGTCGGAAATTGACTTCCGGTAATGCATTTCTGGGAAAAAGCGAGTGCATTTTCCCTCTGCGCTCGATTATAAGAGCAAATATCACGAATAATTGGTACGTACTAGGCACTTTGGAACATTTCTCAGTCACGCAGACGAAATAATTGGTCAGTTACAGCATTTTTATTTGAAATTCCTGGCACGAAAAACGGTGTTAAAACCGCTTCATACGTGTATTTATGTGCACTGTCGGACACTGTTAGCGCGAACACGGCGTCGACGCTTTCCAGCATGGGGGATATACGTGCCAAACGAACAAAGGACATGTGGAAAACCAAGAGAGACGGCAAAAACTACGCAGTAACACTGGATAAGTAACTCCTTGTGCACGCAGACGATCAAAATAAATTGAAAGCTACGTAATATAGTCCGATTTGCAATAAATAAGTACTGCTTTATTCTTTCTGCTCATGAATATGTGCGAAGATGCTTCTTCTGGGTTCAAATAATCACCCGCACGCTCTAAATCTTTGCAAATAGGGGGAGCCATAGAGCAGGTGCCCGATAAAAACTGCCCGACAAAGAAAAAAAAAAAAAAAATTCGTAGCTTACGTGTTTTTTTTTTTTTTTTTTGCGTTCGAATGTTTCTTTAACGGATCGTAAAGGTGCACAACGGAGTCATTTTCATCCAATGACAGGACGGGCATATTAGCCATATATAAGCACCACCGAAATGCTAGCAAACCTTGAACACACTCTACATTCCTTTTGATCGTTAGTTTGCTTAGAATCGTCGCTCGTTTTCACATACCTTCCTTGAAACAGAGATTTGGACCTGAAATAGAGTGAAGTTTAA